TCCAATCAATCACTAGAATAACTGAAAGTCAAATTGTTGACACTTCCCAGAAAAAATGGATTGAAACAAACTTTTTGCTGGAAAGCACAATCACCAGGATTATGTATCTGGACATTAAAAACTGACTTCTCAGTTAGAGAAACATTTGGATGATTATATTTTTTAGCAGCTATTACTTTAATTTTTACTGTGTAGAGTTAATCATTTCCCAATAAAATTCATCTTTATTATGAACTGCAAAGCAATTTGCATTACTGTTTCAATGCACTAAGATTTCTCATATATATATATAGTAAAACTATAATTTTTTACTTATTAATTTGAAAACTAGCAACATAATTACAGTAATTTGTAACAAGAATTATTCTAATCACTAAAAATTTTTGTCAAATGGAAGTTAAAGAGAAAAAAATCATAACTCAGTAACTTGGCATCATTACTTATACTTGATATAACCTAACCTGGTCATTTATATCTGGAGATTGTAATTAATATTATAATTAATATTTAAAAATATTAATTACAATAATCTACAATCTCTGCATAAAAGTTATAATTGATAAGCAAGATAGAATTCCAACTGTCCTTTATAGTTTCTATAATTTTATTTTATTTTATAATATTCTTTATTTATTTCTATAATTTTTCTTTATTCTATTTCTAAGTTAATATATGGGGCACTGGTGACTCAGCTTGCTGTTGGTTTGTTTTCTAACAACTTACTTTTTCTTATAGTTAAACTGGTCACCTTCAATTGAGTTTGTTCAAGGTGCTTTCTACTGTCTACAATTTTTTTTTAATTCTTTTCTTTTTACTTGTTATTGGAGAAGTTGAACTTAATCCAGGTCTTAAGGTCCACACTTAAGGTCTGAAATCTCATACACCACTTCCTCCCCCCCCATAATAAGGCTTTAACTTCTGCTGGTGAGCGTTGTCAATCACCAAGTGAACAAACATTGAAATTATCTCAGCTGGATGATTATTTTTCATTGCAGGAGATTTCTATTCAAGTATTTCAGAAGTTTTGTCTTTTCTTGAGGAACATTTTGATGCTATTTTATTGAAATTGGAAGAATTGTTGTCAAAGTTTGATTGGTTGTCTAATTTACATAAGAAGTATGAGGAACAATTAACTCAACAGGAAAGAAAAATTATTAAATTTTTACAATATGTACAATATGTATAAAAATTATTGAACTTCAACTTTTAGAGCTGTATGCTAGGATAATTTTTCTTTTCAGTTTTATTGTATAGATTCTGTGTATAATGAAAAATATAATAACAACAACACTATTGTTTCTGGTTTGAGTGGTATTAGTGAATTAGTTTAAAATGATAACTTTATCAGGCGGTTCAAAAGACAGAATGAGGAACATATTCCTTTCATTAATAGTTATCAAATATCAGCGACTTGGCTTGTATTGTTTGAGCTTTATTCTCAAGCTGACAAAGGACAAGCTGAAAATTTAAAGGAAATTTGAAAGTTCCCATCTTTCTCACATGTTAAAGTTTTTGATCATTTGTCTTATAGATCAAGACTTAGGTATAGAAAACTTTTATATTATTTTGTGAAAGCTAAATTTTTGTATATAAGGGCATTTTTAAGAGCCAACTGCTTGACAGTTTATGATGATAAATTCACTTTTATTCTAGAAGCTAATGAGCTGTAGAAGATTAATACTTTTTGGACAAGTCCAACCAAAGGCTTAATTGGAATAAATGCTAATGGAAGGGATAAAACTTTACTAATGAGAATGTTGTCTTGGAATTGTCAAGGAAAACTGGACTTGACAATGAACAACCAAGAGTTTATATTTTTTCTAGAAAATTATGATGTAGTTGCTTTTGTCGAGACTTGGTTAATTAATTCTTATAAACAGATCCTTTCTTGATTGAATCTAGATTTTTTTTTATGAACAACTTTCTAAGAAATCAATTGGTCTTTGTCCTCCATATAGTGGTTTAATTTTTGCACTTTCTTATAAATTTGGTTCTTCAGAATTGCTATTCAACTCTGATAATTTGTTAGTAATTACATTTAATTGTAAGAAAAGCTTCTGTTCACTTAATTATAGCTTGGTAATTATTCTTTTTATTTAAGAATTGATTATGATGTATTCATAATTAAATTGGAAGATTTGTTGCAGAACCTTTCTCAAGTTAAATTTATTTTATGAGGCACAAATGCTAGAATAGGTGAGAGATTGGACTGGACAACTTTTACACTGGTTCTAATGCTAATGTTCTGATTCCTGAAGATCTAACAATTTTATATTCAATCGAAGGGAGGAGAAATTCCTATAATTGGTTAAGTTTTACGGATTATATATATTAAATGGTCAATGTGTATGCAATTATCCAGATAAATTTACTATTCTTTCAGCAATTAGTTTATCAGTTATAAATTTAATATCAGTAAATATCAAATAAACACTAATTTAATTACACTTGTAGTCAACATATTTGTCAAATGATATTCAAAGATATCCCACCAATAGTTAAAATGCAAACACCTTTGAATATCATTTGACAGATAAGTTGGCCACAAGTGTAATTAAATTATTGTTTATTTAATATAGATACTGTAGTCATCAGATATTAATATATCCCACTAATAAGTAAACATGAACTCATTTGAACATTGCTCAAGAATGCATTCATTACATGAGTAATTATATAATACTGAAAAGGAATCACTAAGATGATGTGATTTGAAATGAATTTATATTCAGGGTTCCTACTCAAATTTTTGTTTTAAATTCCCTGACTTTCTGTGACCAACTTTGTATAAATTCCCTGACCCTCACGTTCCTTACAGTATGGCACATTAACAAAATAAAACATTACTCAACTTACTATGAACATACATTAGTGCTTCTCCAACTTTTTAACTGGTTATTTTTTCTAATTAACAGTTATATATTTTTTATGATCGATGAATTAGTAAAATCAAAAATAAAATAAGAAAGACAGAATTATGGCATGTCTTCTCTACAAAAAACTAAAATGTTTTATTAAATAATAATTTATCCTGTTATTAACTCATAACTGTAAAACTTCATAGCTTTGAAAAAAAGAAAAAAGCCATTAATTATTATTAAAAGAATTCAGTATAATCCATGTAGAAAAGTATAAATTTATTAAATTTGTCCTTTAATAAATTTTCCAAACTTTATAAAATATTAATAAACTGGGAAAAAGTTTCAGAAATCAGAAATTGTTTTGTTATGTGATCAAAATTATTAAAATGAAAAATGATAAATAATACCATTTGAATTAATATTAAGTTATTTATCATTTTTGGTTCTTTGTTATCATTTTTTCCATCAGTTCATTAACATATTCCCTCAAATTGAAAGTGTAAATTGCAAGAGATAGAAAGTTAAAATATTTCAAAAATTTTTTATCAACATTAGTTTAAGAGTATTAGATTTTTCTCTCAAACTTATAATACTGCATAATTAATACAGCAGTTTTAAAATCTAAAAGTATTTTAAAATTTAAAAATAACAATTGATATTGTTGTATGCTTGTATATTTTGTGCGCTTTAGTTTTGGGGAAAATTTTGGATCCTGAAAATATTCTGCACTCCCTTTTCATAGTTGCATTGTACCACAATACTTCTGGCTGCCTGCAGACATCTACACTACAAAATCAACAAGGCAACCAAGGAAACAAATTCCCTGACCTTTCGACAATTTTTAACAAATTCCCTGACTTTCCATAACTTTTTCAGAACACTAATGTAAATCCCTGACTTTCCCTGATTTTTCCAGGTGCATAGGAACCCTGTATATTAGAGAAAGAATAATAATAAATATCAATGCTAGCTTGGTTACTTGGTTTTCTGCAGCTCTAGACAATTGACATTCGGAATAGAAGATCTGTGCCAAAATCACTTAGTTGGTTCAGAAATTAAGATTAAAGTTACAGAATAATATTAGACTGTATTTTTCTAGCTAGCTATTTGTACTCTTCAAGTGAGAGTTTTCCCTTCTGGATTGTAAACAACAAACTAACAGATTTATATTAGTCACAGGATATTTTCCATTTGAGTGATAAGGATTGGGATCCTGGAACTTTTCTTAATAAAATTTGGACTCCAGCATTATATTTACTATCTAATTTGAGTTATAAAATAAAATCATTTGTTATGCAATTTAGACTAACTAGGTTTTTGATAACCTTGTCACTGAGTGTTCTTTTTGCAGAATGACAATGACAAATATGAGAAAGCCCATGTTTGATTCCTGTAATACACTTTTAGATATTTCAGCTAATACAACAGAACCTGATTTTTGTTATCAAACTTTATTTGATGACAGTTTCACCATATCAGCATTATATAAACTACAAATTTTTTGCTCATATATCAAATTTAATGTAACATTATTATTAATGATCTTTGTAAAAACACTTGTTATATCAAATAGGGTTTAAAGTAAGAAAGTAAATTAGTATGTGGATGCAATAGATTAAAGAATACTTATGTCCATAAAAAAGACAAATTTTAAGCTCTTATAATATAGTACATTTGGATATAATACTAATTCTGCACTTCACATTTTGTTATACATAAACTATTTGATTCTGTATTTGCTATGGAGTGGCTTATTCCAAAATTAAGTTGTAGTTTATTAAAAAATGTAACCAAGATACTATCAGAAAACAATATTTTATAAGCATAATACTTGCTGCATTTTCTCTCTTTTCATAAATAAAAATATAAAAACATTGAATGATTCTCATAGTACTTAAGAAAAAAAATTTATCATTTAAACTGATTTCTTTTTCAAATGGAATGAAAAATAAGTGTTCTTCATATGCCATAAAACATCATGATTTTAATGCTAATTTAATATCTAATTATAAAATAACTAACATATTTAATATTTCAACTATAAATATATAATGGATAAAAGAGTTAATTTCATTTCACAAATTTGTTTAATGCTCAGTTATATTAATGTTTAATTAGATTAATTTTTATTTTACTAACCTACATCCGGTGGGCTGCCATTTGAAGAAGCCAAAGGAGCTTTATTTGAATTTTTTTCTTTTTTCAAAGTATGCATACCAAAATCTTCATCTGGTTTACCAGCTTTAAAAATATAAAAATTAATTGTAAGATTTTTCTATTATAAATTGCATTTCAATTAAAAGTTAAAAACTTATAGTATGATCTTATCATAGGTTACTTTAAATAAAATCAAACTGCCATAAATTTTACAATATTAGTCATTTTAAAATTCCACTTCAAAGAGAAAATCATCAATTTTCAGTACTGATTACAATAAGTATAGTTGTTACATTGAACTTGATTAATTTAGCTTTAGTAGCTCAGGTTTTGTTTTACAACATAAAATGCTTAATAATTTAATATCATTGTTATTAAATATGTTTGTAGGCCAATAGAAAGATTTGTTTATCTAATTTTGAAAATTAGATTTTTTACAAAATCTGAAATTAGATTTGGACTATATGCTGTATTTTCACAGAATGACTGGCATGCTGGTCTATCCAGGGGAGACCATGAAATCAGATGCTTCCATAGAGTAAGAACCAGCATGCTAGTTTAAGTGAGGTTATAGATCTCACTCTAGAGTAGGGGTCCCCAAACTTTTTATCCCGTCGACCCCTTTATAGAATATGTGCCTTCTTATCGACCCCCAGATTAAGTATTTAACAAAAACATTAAATCATTTTTGCATTTCTAATGTTAAGCGATAAGGAGACCCGCATAACAACCCAAATAAATAATTTATAGTTCCCATATTTTATAAAATCCACCCAATAAAACAATATTAACAGAAAGAGGAGATATTTTTCACTGATTTATAATCTTAAAAAATAATAGCAAAATTATGGATAGATGGAAATTTGCCTATAGTTCTTAAACCGTACGTGTCATAATATGTAAAATACACAATTATCTTTGAAAATATAACATTAGTTATATTGGATGAAAAAAACCTCTTACTGTCATTTTGTGACTACTACTGAATGCCTTAAAAATATGTAGACATACCTTTTTATTAAAATAGTTCATATTAGTGGGATGGATGTCTCTGAAGAGAAGCGGCAAGATTATTGATATTCGGTTGAAAATTGGTAAGTTTTAGTCGCAAATCACCACGGTTTTCCAAGTTCAATCTGTTCCTCTGTTTTGTCAAAATTGCGTTCGCGTGGCTAAAACCAGCTTCAACCACGTATGAAGTTGGGAATGCGAGTAAGAAAGGTTCGGCTTCTGCTCTGAGCTCGGGATATTTAGTGGCAATATTGTTATTGCTCCAAAATTCACTGATGTTTTTATTTTTAAACAACGCTTTAGCTTCCAGATATACACATATTTCACTCAATTCATCTTCTAAGCCAGTTTCACTACCTTCATTATCTATTTTTACATCAAATGGATTAGCGAACCATTCGGAAACGTGCATATTCTCCAATTCTTCGAAACATGCTTTAAAGTCTTCTCTTAATTTATCAAGATGTTTAATATATATCTCCAAATCATGGTCAAAAACCTTTTCATTTTCTTTTAGTACTCGCAAGTTTGAAAAATATTTAAAATCGGATCGTGCCAGTGAAGATTTAAATAGCTCCATTTTTACATCAATGACGGCGGAGAAGATTGAAATATATAGGAGTAGGCCACGTGAGGGATGTTTAAATGCGAGAGATGCTGAGAGCCTGTCATCAGCGTGGAAATACATGATTAATTAAAAAGTTCACTAAAAACTCAAGCTAGAATTAGTTTATTGGAAGATTTATTATATTTTTTATTTTTTAGTTTATTTTGTGTTATTTTTATATTTTCTTCCGTTTCTCTTGTATATTTTTAAAAATTTTTGTTCTAAATTTTGATTTAAATATTCTATACATGGAACGTATCTGTTCCATTTTCGTTTTTTAGACCTGATGATGGCCTGTTAATCAGGTTGAAAACGTTAGTTTTTCAATTATATTTCTCAGCAACAAATTAAGGTGTTTTAATTTCTGTGTTTAGTTGCTGAGCACTTTTAATGTTATGCTCCATTTTTACTTGAAAGGCCATTTTTTTCTTGCAAACGCTTCTGCACTATGTTAATGATTTTCGATGTATTACGATATTTTCTCTGTAAAGGACGAAATATCTACATTTAGATATAAGATACTTAGAGTGACAACCCTACTAGAGTGTAACAGTGCAACGTATGTCTGCGTATAATGCACTACCAGTGTTCATAACATGTTTGCGACACTAGTACAGTTGCCAGATGCGCGAAAACAAGAGTGACACATGCTTAAAGCGACGTAGGCTAGGCCAAAACTCAAGTTATAACTAGGGTAGTCAGTAATGTTGATCATATCCGTATTTCGAATTTTTATTGGAATACTGTATTCTATTTTTTCCTAGACAATTTAATTGATCTTCTTTGGTATTAATCGACCTCCTTTCGACTCTCGTGTATTAATCGACCCCTGGAGAACTCTTATCGACCACTTTGGGGACCCCTACTCTAGAGGATGCATTAAAAAAATCAAATGAGTTTTTATTCTAAAACTGTGAAACTGTCAGCATTACATCAAAAACTACTATTATATAATTATGTTTAATTTCTTCATTCTGTCTTCTTTCTAACAACATAAAATACTCTTGGAATTCCAAAAGTGCTTTTTTAAATATGTATTTTATTGTTATTTGATTCAAAAACACAAAAATAAACATATTAAATTTAATTAACTAACTATAAATTATCTCAGCTAACACCAATAACATCAGCATTGTGTGAAATTTGAGAGGAAGGTGTTATTTTCAAGGTTGGAAGATGGTCAGTGTATCCTACACTGACTAACTACTACTAATGTCAATAAGTCATTAATTGTTTTATTGTCCTGTAAAAAAAATCTCATCCGGATTTTAAGTCAGTCAAATTACAATGTTGTTATTTTACTGTACTCGAATGTTTTCTTCTTTAATGTTTAACTAACAACTAGTTTTGTTAGATCTGATTAATTTTATATTTTAGTCCAGTTTAACTGGCATGCTGGTAACTCCAGGGTTTCCGGCATGGTAGTCTCTCGTTTATATGCAGCATGCTGGTCATTCCACAAAAATACAGTGTATTTTTTATTTTATTCTTCTTCTATATATTGCTTCCTTTCCAACAGAATTATATATTCAGTGTTTTCTTAATGTTGAGAAATACATCAGTAGTACTCAAATTTGTTGTAACAATATATTTATTCCATTTGAGTTATTCTCTATTAATAACTTACTCCATTAAAGTATATAAACTCATTAAATACAACTTATTAAATTATTAAATAAATTAGTTATATTTTAAATTTAATTAATTATTAATAAACATTTAAAGCCAAACTAAAGTTACAAATTTTTTAATCTATATCTATTTTATAAAAAAATGGAAATTTTTAGTTATTAACTTAATACTATATAATATTGTACACAACTGATGAGGGACAAACTTAAACATTTGAAATGCATATGGATCCAATAAAAACTTAAATGAAAAACAAGTCACCTTAAAGACATTTGTGGTCATTATGATAAGTTTAGGTTTAAGTCCAATCCCGAGTTAACTTGGGCATGTTACATAGCGTTACAAAAAATGTGTCATTTTGCCCCCCCCCCCCGAATTTTTTTTTGATTTTTGGAATGTTTTTTAAGTCTCCAAATTTTTTCAAAAATTTTTGCCCGCACAAAAAAATTTTATTGCGATTTTAATTAGCCTTTGATAAGGCTCAATTAAGGCTTAATTGTTTTTTAATGGGATTTTTTTTATCAAATTTAATTAATCGTTCTAAAGTTGTAATGCACGGATTTGATTTTGGTAAAGTTATTTAAAGCTACTTTCTGATGTCAAAAATGACCTCCAATAGTTTTTTAATTTTTTTAATTAATAGATTTTATTATATATAAGTTTAATTAAGTCGGGGGTCGGAAATTGCAATAAAAATTTTAATTTTTTAAAAATATACAGCCAACTAGTATTCACCCTACTATAAACCCATCGCCTCCCAAGACTTCTATGAGAATGTCCCAGGAAATCCGACTCCAGCTGTTCTCAAGGTCATCCAGCTGTGTAAACAATGACTCATCAATGTCAAATTTCACAGAAAGGCGAAACAAAGGAAAATAAAATTTGAAGCTTTTTCTTCAAAATTAACCCATTTTTTTCGTTTTTTTTCAGTTTTAAGTATTTTTAATGCTTAATTACATTAAATTAATTAATCGGTGAGCGGCAAGTGGTTAAGACATATTATTAGCCAATAGAAAATTAACATAGTCATCCAAACAAGAAGCAAATTATAAAATAAATAGGTAAATGTCTCTTCAATCCGAACAGATTTTCGGTAGACTTTCTCACAGATCTACAGGTTATAAAACTCCTTTATTTGTGTAAACAATAAAGGAGTTTTATAACCTGTAGAGCTGTGAGAAAGTCTACCGAAAATCTGTTCGGATTGAAGAGACATTTACCTATTTAACACATAATACAGCTTCCATTAGAAAATTCATCAAGCAAATTATACTAAAAATAAAATATAATTTGGGAAACTCTGTCATTAAAAACTTTTTTTTTTTATATTGTTGGTCATCCTTTAATTTATAGTTGGTATAAAAAGTCACAGAAAGTGAAAAAAATAACATGGTGAATAACTTTCTATTTTGGCAAATAAAAAATATGTTTGGCAAATGGATTGGCAATTGCTATAAAATAGCCAGAGTGATCCCTGAAATATGTAATAAAAAGTTCCAAAAAAATATTATATATATATAGTGATCAACTGATTTTATTTCATAAATTACATGTTGTAATAGTGCCTTAATGATTAGATGAAATCAAATTAATTATTCAACATTCACTTCTCAATATCATTTGTCATGATTGATTATTAAATAAAATCACAAATTTAAAAAAATTAAAAAAAGTAACTTTATACTGAAAACTTTTTGACATAGAATATATTTAATAGACTATGATTTGATATATGTTAAAAAAATAGAATTTAATATGATCTATAATAAAATTTAAAAATTCAACAGTTAAAAAAAAATCTATACTTTATGGAACTACTGTAGTTTATTTTTTAAAATTTACATAAATAAATAAATATATATATATATAAATGATTTACTTACCATATGTAGCAATATCATGAGTGTACCTTACCCTACAAGCTGTGTATAGTGGACAACGAGACCAAAAACAACACACAATTATTGTAATTGTGACAGCAACACAGGACAGAGTAACTGATACAGCTATAATTGTTGCTATCCTAGAAATAAAAGTAATTAAATTATCTTTACTTTTCTTAAGTAATAGATTTTAGTTACTTTTTTGAATGAAAAAAAGAATAAAACTTTAATTTTAAAAAATATTAAATGTTTCTTATAACTTAAACCAAGGGTGTCCAACCCGCAGCCCACATGTGGCCCAAGGCAAGTTACAATGCGGCCCAATAAACATGTAAACAGAACCGACAAATTGTTTTATCTTTTGTTTATTTATTTATTTCAACAGCATAAACTCAAAAAAGAAGTTTTACAAAGCCGTAAACTTTTATACATACAGGTATTCCTCGCCTTACATCGGTAATTGGTTCCAGGAGAGACGATATAAATTGAATTTACTTGTCTCCAAATCTACTTGTCACTAGGCTAAACCATATATTACCATTCCCAGTTCTGTATTTTATTTATTAATGCATTTCTAATAATATATGGTTAATAAGGATCTATTTTAAGCTTACAAACAAATAAATTTTAGTTTTTAATATAGTACAGAAAAAAGTAATCTAAATTTACATATGCATGTANTACTTGTCTCCGAATCTACTTGTCACTAGGCTAAACCATATATTACCATTCCCAGTTCTGTATTTTATTTATTAATGCATTTCTAATAATATATGGTTAATAAGGATCTATTTTAAGCTTACAAACAAATAAATTTTAGTTTTTAATATAGTACAGAAAAAAGTAATCTAAATTTACATATGCATGTACAGTACTTTAAATACAGTACATACTTGTAAATGTATATACTTTAATATGATTTTATGTGCTTTAAATGTTTTTCTAGTGATATTATGACTTCAATATTTGTGGCAGACAGACATAAAGTCAAATAAAATGACTTAAACTTGATTTTTATTTTTCCATATACTTTTTGACAAACGACATATAATCAGGAATGACGTAACTCGAAACGACGTAAGTCGAAGTATACCTGTATTTTATTTTTGAATGAAAAGGAAATACTTTCAAATACTTGATGAAAGAATACTAAATAAAGCTGAAGTTGTGACTCAAAGGATTATAGACCCAAATTTGAGAAAAGGAGAGAAAGGCCAAAAGATAAAAAGTAGTGAGAAAGGTTAAATAGACCTTCTGTTATGCAAATATTGACCATTAATTTTCCAACCTTCCTCACTACTTTTTATCTTTTGTTCTTTCTCTCCTTTTCTCAAATTTGGATCTATAATCCTTTGAGTTCCAACTCCAGCATTATTTAGTATTCTTTCCAGTGTTGCAAGATTTGGCTATTTTGTGCCAAATTTGGCTACCTGTTTTTTTAGTTTTGACGTAAAAATTATCATTTTGTGCATTGGCTACTTTCTGGTCTACATATTATTTATAATATTAGTCGAATAAAAATGCACTTTAAAATGGTGTTTCATCGTTTTTTATTTTAATTAGAGACCCAAATAAAACAAATATTTGTGTTTTTCAAGTAAATTTTTGTCTGTCTCCTTTATAATAGATGAATTTATTTATTTCTAAGTAAAAATTGGAAGTCTGTAGAAGTAATTTTTTAAAATAACCTTTTTCGTAATAAAGTTTTAATACTTATTACTATTACTTATTACTATAATCTAGACATGTTAATCCTTAAATATACAAGTATATTTAAGGATTGGGTCACAAATATATTATATATGCTTGTGGCCCAAAACTCCATGACTTCTTCCAATGTGGCCCAGAGGAACAAAAAGGTTAAACACTCCTGACTTAAACCATTTATGTTAGGGCTTATCACACCAGTGAATATGAACACAAAATTTGTTAAAGTTACCATATATTTAAATCTACAAAACAAAGAGATTTTACAATATGTTGTTTTCAAAACCGCGTTTTGCGAATATATTGGACTTCGAACTCACATCTGAGTTATAAATAAACACTTGGCTTTATTTCCATCATTTTAGTTGATTTAGTTGATCACTTTCCTGTGCTGTTCCTCTTTTTACAGTAAACAGCACAATGCCAGGTTAGTGCAGCTTTTTTGATGTTGGGGAACAAATTCTGGAAAATGTTGTCCAGTTAGCCAAAGGGGACCTGATTGATTTGGTCAACCCTTTTTTGTTTTTTAAAATTCTCAATGATATTCTTCAGTCAGTCATCTGATTAATTTGTGCAAAAATCTAAATTGTAATCTAAATATCTAAGATCTAAGTATGTAAGAGATGAAAAAAAAATACTATAAAAATTTTTTTCACCTCTTACTTGTTAGATATTTTCCTCATCAACGCCTTCATTTTATATTTTTAAAAAAGTGGCAAAACTCAGAAAATTTAGACTGTGTGAAAATCTAAATTACTTAATTGCAAGGAAAAGAGAAAAAAAATTTTTTTCCTCTTTCTTTGCAATTGAGTAATCACGAAGATGTTGATCTAAGCGATCAACACCTCCCATCATGACATTATAGTCAAAGATGGCCTTTGGCTTTGTTGTTGTTTTTCTGTCATCTTTTTGTTTTTATAGTTTTTCTGTATTGTGAACAATAGACAAGACAATATAATAATAGTTTGTTTATCCTGCCATTTCATAACTATTACTTTTCCTCTTTGAAATGCCAATAGCTTTTTGCAGTTCCTTAGCTTTATTTTCTTTATTGGAACTGGAACTTCTTTTCTAGTTGACACAATGTTCCTTATACAGCAGAACATCGATTATCTGAAAGTCAATTATTCGAAAGAATTCCAGTAGGCAAATTTAAATTTTCGCTAGTGCTGTGGCACTGAAATCTTTGGCTATGTGTTGGGCTACTCAAATATTTTACATTTTTGATACTAAATTAACTCCTGAAGTATAATTTTTTATTGTTTTTATATTTTTCAATATATTTATTTTGTTTGTACAAAATAAAGAAATAATTTTTAACAATACAATAGTCACAATTATTATTTTAAAAAGTTTACATTAGGCTTAACATAGACGAAAATTCAATGCAAAGCGACACGCAACGGAGAAAAATTTCAACGTGGGATAGGTTAATATATTTTTTTTGTACAGTACATAATCAGTTATCCGAAATATCAATTTTCTGAACAACCCCAGACCCAACTGATTCGGATAATCGACACTGTACTGTATAATGGTTTTGCAAAAAATATGAAAATCAGCAAACTGTGCAACATATAAAAATTATCTGTAATGATATGGTAGCCTTTATTCAAAAAAGTATATGCTAAGAATAATACAATTTACTGTGTAGTAGTCATATTTTTATATTTGTCATTCAGCAGCGTTCCTTTACCTGTATAAATTACAGTTGAGTGAGTACATGTACTGAGATGATGATTCACATAGCATGTAAAATTTTACTCCAAAACAAGATCTTTGAGAGGGATGTATTGCTTCCAGGAAAATAATAGACCCTCTTTGAATAGCATTAAACTCTTTCATCCACTGCAATATTTTTTTCTGGTATGTATAATGGGAAAAATTTTTCATTTAAATTTTAAAAAATTTGCCAAATCTTACTTTCTTTTGGGTTGGGATAGGTCTGTGGATCATATCATATATTACAGAAATGCAAGTTTTTTTGAATAGTAAAAAATTGCCTTTGAAATATCAGTTTCAGGAAAACAAGAGAGGAAAATATCTCATCTGTAGACCAGTACACCCTTTCATCCATTTTTCTAACAATGCCTTTAATTATATTTATTATCAAAAATAGAAAAATATCATTTTTCATGACAGGTATCCAGGGATTAGAATTATTTCCTTGTTGTTTTTAAGCATATCTATTAGTTTCAGTGATGATAATATCAATTATATCATCATTGAAAAGCAGAAAAAATGCAAACCGATAAACCTTATAAATGAAATTCCAGTATAGTTTAATGCAGATAAAATACATATATTTTCAGTCTACTTAGGAGATCTTCAGGTTAATGTGTTCCAAGATGGAATGCGAGGAAAGAAACATTTTAAAAATATTTGAAAATGCTCAAATACATAAATAATGCATAAGTATACATAATGTGATATAAAATAACAAATTCTGTGACACAAAATAAAATATAAGTATAAATGAGAATTTACAAAAACTTTATTTATATTGGTTGTCATGCATAAGATAATGGTTTTTCATCCTTGAAACTGATGCAAAAGCCCTTCTTTTCAGGATGAGAAACCATTATCTTATGCATGACAATCTTTATACCAACAATGATAGTCAATATAAAAAAAGTTAACAATGTACTGTACCTTGAACCTGTTACTGATGTGAGTGACACAAAGGATAAAGTACATCACAAATGTTTTCAAACAGTTTAAAGTTCTTCCTCAGATGATACACAGAATAACTGATGGAACACAATTCAATTCAATTCAATATTTTTATTGCTGTACAAGGTAGTACAACACAGTAGTATAAGTCTGAGCATTATTTTTTTCATTATCCATGGATTTGGGCATAAGTTTTATGGTCCCCCTAAGTAACATGTAGTAATGTTTAGTCTGGCTCCTCAGTTTAGACTTGTCTGGCATGGGTGATCTTGCCAGAATAATACACCAGCAAAGCCTTAAACTTTGTAGGAGAATAAAAAAAAACCCCTCACCCACATTAAAGGAGTACTCTCCCCCACGTTTATATTTGTACGTATATGAGGGGAAATAAATATATATATGAGGGAGAAAAGAAAAACATTAACATTCTTTAAGTCCTTTTAACTTTATCTTTAGATCCTCCCCACAATTTTGGAATGACTAATATCCAAATGCTTCAAACAATTAAAGCTGAACTTTTCAGTTTAAATATAATTTATAACAAGTAATAATTTATTGTGACATCATTATAATGCTGGGCCACAATTTTTAATCATATTTTGTAATTTATTTACATTAAAATATATGCTCTCCATCTCAAATTAGTAGTGGCTTGATCCTGTACATCATACTTTTCCTTTAACAATAGAGTTGTGACAGTCACCTATTAACTGCTTTCAGAAGAAAAGATTTGAATTGAAATAATGTGACTTCCGGTTTG